AGAATTTTTCACCGGCAGACTCTCCAACAATTTTTCCGCTACTGATATTATGCCTCTTCTTGAAACGCTGTTCCCAACTTTTAGAACAAGCAAACTCTTTATTTTTGATTTTACTCCCCATTTCACTAGCATTTTCTTGTAAAACACTGCCACTTATGGGAACGTTTTCTTGTGTTTTTTGAGTAAACCACTTAATAAGCCTTGTCAACGTTTTCATGTGCAGATAATTTTAACTTCCTACATCTAACATTTGTTTTGTCATGCGCTGATAAAATGTTTTATCTGTTTTTCCATATTGTTGCAACAGACTTTCCAAGTGCTAATTCCTTACAAATGTCACTCTGCTTTACGCCACTTTTTATTTTGTTAATAATCTCGTACTTTTCATTTAGTGAAAAAGCTTTGCGTTTTTGTTTTTCCATTCTAAAACGATTTACATACATAACGCGGCAAAAAAACAACAAGTCACTGTCTGCCTCTCGCTCTCACTAATATAAACAAACAACTCCGCACGATTGGTGTTGCTGAGCGTGGAAGTTCGTTATAAACGGAAAGTGAATATTCAACTAACCTAAAAAGTGATCGTTATATCCAGAAGTTCGGTATAAACGGGTTCGTTATAACCAGTAAAAAAATACGTTGGTCTTTATGACGACGTTTCAATTAAAGGAAAAAAGTTCGTATTAACCGAAAGTTCACTATAACCGGGTTCATTATAAGCGGACTTTACTGTAGTTTTAGTCAATTGCAAGCTTGAATTTTGATAATTTGTAGGTATCGGACCAACATTTTGAGGTGCGAAAAAGAAAACCCATGCTTCCTCTAAAGCGGAAGAAAGAAGCAAGTTGCAATTTCTTGCCGCTTCTGAGGAATTGATTTTTGACTGCCCCGTGGTAAACCTTTTCTTTCGAAAATAAATTCAATTTCATAACAGCCAAATTTATCAGTTTTCACTCTCAAACCAACTATACAGGGTGTCCCGTAAGCACATTATCGAAAGGGTATCCACCTTAAATGCATCGTACCATTCTCCCGATAATTCAAAAAAGACTTTGACCATCAATAGCAGAGGAGCTAGACATTTTTTGTTAATAAAAGTTAGGTCAGATTATCTTCTTTTGATGCAAAGAATATCGCAGTATCCTTTTGATCATGTGCTTACGGGACACCATGTAGATAACCAACCAAACATTATCTTGAATAAGATATTTTCAAGGCTCATAAAGTTTCCAAATGTATTTTTTAGCAAGTTGAAGGCTGAATAAGAAAGATTTTGCACGTTTTCCAGCTTAGAAATGGTTTCTAGCTTTTTGAGAAAATGCGAAAGCTAAAGAATCTCCATTGTAGGACAAAAATATTTCAATATTACGTGTAATGAGAATTATTTATTGGGCTTTAAGTTGAGAAATCGCTCGCTCCGAAATTGGGTTTTTATAAATCTGGTCTTCTAAAAACTTTCAAATTTCAAAATCGCGAGTTTAATTTATCGTTAAAACTATTTGTTGCCGAATTTTCATTGTTCATTTATCTCTATTTTATAATATTTTTATTACTGTTCGTCTGTAATAAGTTTGCACGCTTCTACTGTTCGTCCTTTGGAAACGACGATAAAACCTGCATTTACCTGCATATTCCACCACAAAAATAAAAGCGTAGATTTGCAATCGCTTCATTTGCAGGATGCAGGGCGTCAAAAAATGTCTCGCTTTTATCCGCCAGCTCCTAGCGCTTATGTGATATTTAGGTCATATTTAAAATTATGGCCAACCAGTTTTTTCGCGGTTCGTATTTTATTGTTACTCCTGTACATTTCAATTCTCCTTTCAGTTTTAAAATTTTGTGCATTTTTACATTGTTTCCGACATTACATTCTTCTCTTCGTCATTTCTTCACACAAAAGTGGATTTTTTGCAACATTCTAACGAGCAGACAGACAGAAGATCTTCCATGATCTGGTCTAAATCTTCAGCTGAGGGAATTCTTACACGATTTACAACCATTCTTGATCAAATTGGGCAATAAAATATATCGTTATTGCTCAGGAACATTAACTAACAAGTATTATTGGTCGTATGGCGATTTGCATGGCATTTCAACAATTTATGTCTGGTCTGGTAGGTGGAACAATATGTGTTGCAGAAATTTCTAGTCAGGAATTCCAGTTGTGCGATAAATGTTTGATGGAAAGCGTACTACAATGGTTCATTTACATGCTGGGGCGCGGTACGTTTTTGTCTGTTAAAAAAGCAGTAGATTTTTACTCAATAAACCAAGTGGTTGCTTTTGGGCCACAGTGAGTGTGTTAACCTGAAGGTGAGCGTCCGATTTTCATGTTTTCATGGACAATTTTCGTTTTTCACACGTACATTTTAAATCACCTGGAATTTAGTTTAATGACCAAACAACAATCCTGGCGCCAGACCCACTTTCCAGATGCATTTCACGTCAATAATAAGCCGGAAGATTTGCTCGATGTCATAAATCAAGCCATCGACGTTACGGAACAATGAGGAAAGTGGGGCATTTTTTACTCAACAATGCCACCAAGGAGCGGATGACTAGTATAAACATTTAGTCGTTGAAGTCCGGCCCTGTTTTCCGGTCTTTTGTGCTTTTTGTTGGGCGGATATCGGATTAGCATAGAGACGGTGGCAGTTAAACGTCTCTATTTATATATTTATTTAAAAAAAGGAAGGTCGTGGTGCACGTAACAACAATGTAAATGTGATTTGAATGTGGAATTTACAATGCACAGAATCATCTGCTGAAGGTGCATTAAAACATTGAAGATTGCAGGAAAAGGTTGGAAAGTTGGTCCCGCTCTTTGCCATGATAATCTAATGATTGTGGCTATTGTTTAGAAAAGGGCTCTTAAGCTCAAGAATGTCACTGACAATAACACGACAAGATTCCATGAAAACCTTTTCAACTTCCAAAGTACTTAGATAGTGTTATTTTGTTTTTAAGG